TTCATCCCCTAGATCTTAGAGAGGATTCCAGTCTCCTAGAAATATTTATCTCTTCTGTTGGTTATGAAGAAAAGAGGAAAGAAGTCTCAATTTATAGCATCTACTATAGGTCTCGGGTATGTCATTCTTTGCCATTGTTTTGGTGATACTTCAGTTATCTCTAGTAAGCCCTAGGGATGTTATAAGAATTTAAAAATCAGGTTATTTTTTGTACATTTTTAAATGTTTATTCAGATTATTGAATTAGTTAAGGGTAATATTAATTTTTAAAGCAAGAAGATTTCCAAGATAACTTTAATCTTATATTCATAGAATGGTACTGTGAACTATTTTTTAAATATTTTTTTTAGTTGTAGTTGGACATAATACCTTTATTTTATTTATTTATTTTTATGTGGTGTTGAGGATCCAACCCAGTGCCTCACATGTGCTAGGCAAGCGCTCTTCTGCTGAGCCACAACCCCAGCCCCTGAACTATTTTTTAATAAAAGCAAATAAGCTAAAGAACACTTTTGATTAAAAGTCCATATTTTACATTACACACCATAATAAGCTTCAGAAGTGTTCAAGTTAAATATAAATGAAAAATAACTCCTCATAAATTCTAGAGAAGCTAGAGAAATAAAGTAGTTTTTTTATCAGAGGAAGATGTGAACTGTTTGATGCAATAGAAAGCAATGGAAGTAGTAACATAAAAGTATTGATATATATGAATATAAAATGAATTTTTGTATAATAAAAAAGGAAACTAATATAAATGGACAGTGGCTGGAAAACACTTTAATCAAAGGTTAATATTTCTAATCTGTGATTTTACATTCAAATTTATAAGAAAAAGTACACCTTAAACTAGGATAATCAAAACAAGGAGACAATTCACAAATGTGAGAACAAATTGAAAAAAACAGTTTCATTTGGAACCAAAGAAATTCAGATTAAAGCAAACTTGACATGCAACTTTGTACCTTCTATCACGATTTAAGAGAGAATAATTATTGTTGGGGTATAGCTGGTACACTTATTCATTGATAATAAATTGATATATCTTTTCAAGAGTAAATATGACAAAATATGAAAGCCACAAAAATGTTAAAAAGTCTTTTTTCCCCAGTAATTCAAATATGCAAAGTTTTTCCAACCTAACTAAATCAAGAGTAGCAAAAAGTGATATATTCAAAGATATTCCCTGTAGTAAAAGCTTTAGTAGAAAAAAACTGAGAACCACTGTTTTATATGGTGGAAATGGGTTAAAAAACTTGTGATATATCCCTATGATCAAATATTATTTGACAATTAAAAATATTAACTCTAAAAGCATTACAACAAGGGAAATGCTTACGATAAGAGAATGACAGAAACAAGAATTGCTCTTATATTATAGCAGGTATATAAAACATTTCTACATAGAAGGGAAGATGCAAAGATGGAAACCATATCAGGATGATGGGTTACTGGTGATGTCTTCACTGTATAAATATTTCTTTAATGTAACTGAATTATTTATCTATTCATGGGTTAAAAAAATTGTCCTCAAATTTAGTAGCTTCTGTGTATTAAAAATTTGGGAGCCATCTAATTGGATGGTATTGGTGTAAAGTCCCTGATGAAGTTGTAGTCAGTAGTTGTAGTCATCTGAGACTTGACCGAGGCATAAGTTGCTGCTTCAGATCTCTCTTTCATGACTTGGCAGGAGGCCTCAGTTTCTTGTGCTGTTAGTCTCTTTACAGAGGTTTTGAATGTTCTTTGCTGCAGTCTGGCTGGGCACAATTCAGGAGCCACTTGTCAAAAGAAACGAACTTTATTTTTAGAACCACACAGGCCAAACAAAACAGCTCCTCAGGAAAACCTTCAGAGCCCAACTGCCACCACGGGCTTCCCACAAGCCTCTCTCACAAACACAAGCCTCTCCACCTCCCACAATCCTCCTGATCTTGAGGCCGATTGGCTGGGTCGCATGGGCGGAGCCAAAAAAGTCCCCCAATGAGCAGCTCCGTGGTCTGAAAGGGCAGGGAAACAGCCCATGAGCATCACTGCAGAGGAGCCAATCAGCTAGATGTTGCTGGGGCCGCTGTGAGCCAATCATCAGCTGGCAGTCTGAAAGTTTGCTGGGGCCCCTTCGGCTGTGGCTCTCAACAGTTCTTGTGACATGGCAGCTAGCTTCTCCTAGAACAAGTGATCCCCGGGGGGTGGATCTTTTATGACCCAATATCCCATCATACACCATTTTATATGTTTCATTCTAGTTGTCATAAAATAGTAAGTTTAGCTCATATTTAAAAGGAAGAGAATTGGCTTCGTCTTTTCATAGAAGTCTACCAAAAGGATTGTGAACATATTTAAAATCACCACAGTAGCTAAAATTTCTTGTTATTAAAAGTATACTGGAATAGCCTGCTGTGGTGGTACATGCCTATAATCCCATGACTCAGGAGGCTGAGGCAGGGGGAATCTCAAGTTTGAGGCCAGGGAGACCATCTCAAAAATACAAAGAGCCAGGGGAATAGCTCAGTAGTAGAATGTCCCTGGGTTCAATCCCTAGGACCCTAGGGAATACTGAAAAATGCTGAAACAGAAAAGTGAATAATCCATTCCACCCGTATGAGCTTTGACTCTTGCGTGGGGGAAGTATGAAAACAACAGTGAGACAAAGTGGTCTACAGTGACCAAATTAAAATGCCTCCTCCCGAAACAAAACAACAACAAAAACCTTAGGCGGTATTCCCAGGTGATGGTAATTATTTCTGTCATTCTGATGGTGAGAGCACTGTTACTGATGGTTTGCCCCTCACGTGGGTCCAGAGGGAAGAATGGCATCTTGCTGGCAGATGGCAAGAAATTTCCTCTTTTCCTAACAGCACTGCACAAGCTGAGCATAACATTTTCTCAGCTATCTCTGAGGGGCCCTACCTGCCTGAAAGGTCTGGTTGTTAGATGTACATTTCATCTGAATGAACAATTACCTTTGAGCCATGGCAATACATTTGGAACTCAATTTTAAAAAATACTGAACAGGACACGAGCTGTGGTCTGTGGCCTGTAAATACTAAGAAGGTGTGGAAAAATAAAAGCAAATGTCGGCTGGTGCTAGAGTACAAGTAGGTAGACCAGAACACCCTGTTTGAATTGTGAAACATTTCCTCTGGTTTTATTTAGCTTTCAATTTTCCTTGAGGAGTATGGACTGGTTACCTGGGTTGGCTGTTTTTCATCTTCTTTTGTCGTCCTGTGCAGCTTTTGGTGACTTTAAGTGTTCCAGGAGGGTAAGTGAGAAATGGGACGATGCTAATGGTGGTGACAAGAGTAAAAAACTCTGATGTTTCTCTGAGGGGGAGGCTGGAAAGTTTGCTACAGATAAAAAAGAATGTTTTATTCCCAGTCATCCATATGATGCTGGGAGCTGAAAGGAATTTCTATTACTGGAGTAGTTTGGTTGCTCTCAAAAGAAAGTACCCTAAGTATGCAGGGGTGCAAGTCATTTAATTCAGGAAGCTTGGATTTACAAAAACAAGTAGACTTCCATTGGTTCATCAGAACCCAAGTTCTCTAGTCATGATCTGTGTGAACTGTCATTTCCATCTACTCATGTTTCTTCTGTATAAGCTGGAATATGACTGTTGTCACATTGCAGAGAACCAGGGTCTTTCTGTCCCTTCAAATTCAGAAAGTGTTTATTCATTGAACACCGATTTACCAAGCACCTACTATATGCTGGTGATAATGTTTTTCAGAACACACAGCACTTAACTTCCAGCACCTCTCTCAGAGGCTGTAGTGTTTATGTAGCCACTTGATAGTTGGCACTGATAGACCCAGCCTAATTTTCTCTTAAAATTGGGAGACATCTCGCCACAAAGCCTTGAAAAGCTAATTTCAGCTTTACTATAAATTATTGCAAATTCTGAACTAGTTTGGAATGCCTGCCTGTGCCTTGAACTCACCCATACCTGGCTCTCTCTGGCCAGATAGCAGCCCTCTCTGAAACTTTAGTGACACCTCATAAATCTTGGCCTTTCCTGGCCAGATAACAACCTTCTCTGAGGCTCTAATGACCTTCACAAATTCTAATGCTGGGGCCAGCAAAAATGTAAACTAGCCTTCGTATTATGCTCGTCAGAGTTTTGTTATCTGTAACCCTCCTTTGTGTAACTTTCTGGGCTATAAAGCTGGGCTGCAAGAAAGATGCAGGGCTGTCTTGTTCCCGTGGATTTTGGTGGGAGAGGCAGCCCGGCCGGTCGAAATAATAAGCTTGCTTTAATTTGATTTTAATTGGAGTCAGTGGTCTTTTCTTGCGTCCTGGTCTAACAGCACTTTTATACAATTAATGTAAGACTATCTATAAGTAGTTGTATGGCTTGTTTGGTAACAGTGAGCGATCCTGGGTGCTGGGGGGTTGATTATTCTGATTTTGCCAATCACTGTTTTTAATTTTGGTAGGCAAACTTTTCTTCCCTCTATAGGTGAATAACTCTTGCACAAAATTTCCCTCAGTGACATGATGCTGTTAAGATCTTCCTTTTCCTTATTGGCCATTCCGTTCATCTTCGCTTTAAACTGAGAATAACTGACAGTTCTGAGCGCTGAGGGTAAAACAGCGTTACCATCTCTTTACAGACTGGTCCTTTACTAGAACATGTTCTGGTAGACCTGTTAAAAATACAAACTTTAAAGCAGAAAGGATAATGAATTATAAATGAAATCCCAAATAATCCCAAATTATAAATGGGATTTAAAGGAACTTCCAAATAATAAATCTTGAATACACATCAAGACATTTCAGTATTGGTGTTCCTCAAGAGAAACCTCACTATTCTGTATTCCTCTATTAAAGAAATAGAAGATAAACAAATATTTTTAAAAATGAATGATTTTACTGTGAACCATGGAAACCCTGACTTCAGGCTTATTTTTCTCATGTCACAAGCTGACATTATTAGGTCAGTGGCTCAATGATATTACAGCTGGCAGGCATCTCTAAGATTCTCTTGGCTCTTTTTTTTTTTTTTTCCCTCATCGTAGCAAAAGGTCTCAGCTGACATCACATATGTGTTCAAGGCAGGAAGAAAAGGGGAAGAAAGGATAGTGCCAAACCTGACTCTTATATTTATTAGGAAAGTGAAACTTTCCTCCAAGGCCCCTGCCTGACTTCCCTTGACAGGTCATTACCAGAACTGGGTCTCATGGTCTGTTAGTCAATTTTCTGTCACTGCAACAATTATCTGAGGTACATCAACTTATAAAGAGGAAAGGTTTATTTTGGCTTGTGGTTTCAGAGATTTCAGTCCATGGTTGATTGGCCCTGATTCTGGGTTTATGGTGAGGCCACACATTACGATGAGAGTGTTTGTCAGAGAAAGTCCATTAACCTCACGGCCAGAAGTAAAAGAGAAAGATAAAGAGAATGTTGTCCTATTATCTCTTTCAAGGGCATACTCCCAATAAGCTAAAACCTCCCACTAGGCTCTCGATAGTGCTACCACCTCCCATAGTGCTGTACCCCTGGGGTGGCACAAAGGTCTTTGGGGAACATTCAAGATCTGAACTCTAGCACAAGGCTAACCCTCAACACAAAAATGTCTAGAAAAGGGGTCAACAGGGTGGTCAGGATTGATAAAGACATCAGAATTCATTCCCTGGGATGGGTCATAGTCTTCCCTCAATCAAAATCAAGATTTTTATTAGCAAAAATAAAGAGGATGGGAGGGATTGTTTAGGCAACAACTAACAGAGTTCTTTCTCCCAGTCATTGTTGTTCCTGGGAACCTAATGGAATGGGCTCTTCCCTGAAAGCACTGGAGAAGATCACTGTTTCCACTGGATTCCCGCTGTGAGCAGAGCTCAGCAAGCACCACAGACGCCCATGCGGTGAGTGAAAGCAAGTTCTCATATTATGGTCTGTCCTCTCAAGGTCACTGTCTTCTCTTCCACTCACTTCTTTTTTTTTTTTTCCTCCCCTTATTTTGTTTCTTGGTGCCAGGGATTGAACTCCGGGGTGCTTAACCATTGAGACACATCCTCAGCCTTTTTTTTTTTTTTTTTTTTTTAATATTTTATTTAGAGACAGGGCTTTGCTAAGTTGCTGAGGCTGGCTTTCAACTTGCAATCTGCCTGCCTCCGCCTCCTGAGTGCTGGGATTACAGGTGTGCGCCACTGCACCTGGCTCCCCCAACTCCCCCCCCCTGCACTTTTTTTTTAATCATACATAGTGATGGGATTTAAAATCATACATAGTGATGGGATTTGTTGTTACATATTTGTATGTGTACACAATTTAACAATGTAATCTGGCCAATATACCTCCCCAGTGCTCCCCACCTCCACTCACTTCTTAAGATTGTTGCGGACCAACAAACTTAACCTTATTCCACAATCTCCCTCTAAGCTCTGTTCTCAAACCTTTTGATGCCTGCAGAGCAAACAGCGGAGCTTTTCTGCTCGCCACAGACACTTGCGTGCGCGTGTGCACACACGTGCACATGCAAACACACACAGACACACACTCCACACATTTTTGGACTGAAATTAGAGGACACAATGGAATGTTGGTTACAGGTGACTATTTCAGCTAACCAGGTGCTCTTTGGGTTCAAAATTAAAAAGAAGTCTCTAAACCCTAAACATAATGCATGATGAAAATATTTAAAGTTGCCGTTGCAGCTCTACCCAATAGAGAGGAAGTACAGTTTTTAATCATTTATGGCAGATAATAGGGTCTACACATTGTCTTTTTATTCCAGCCTTGTCTTATGTTAATGTTCTCTTGCCCCACAGTGTTTCCTTCCCACTCCACTGACAGTGGATTAGACTTACAGTAGTCCTGTTTTGGGGCATAGATGTCAGAAGTAGTTGGGAGGGTAAGAGAGAAAGGAGATTGAAGACATGTTTTGTCACTGTGTCCTTTGGAGGCCATCCTCTTCACCAGAACTTGCCTGCATCAGTGCAGCAGAGAGTGGCCGTCTGCTGAGTGCTGCGCGTGGCCATTATTTGACAACTGTGAAGCTTCTGTTGAGTTGTTGTTTGCATTATCTTCTCAGAGAAGAGGTGGGCCGAGCATTCAGTATTAAGACAAGACTTCTCAGGATCAAGAAAGGACTGCTGACCTTGACACGTCCCAGACTGGGATTTCTCCCTCTCTCTTTGAGGACAGGTGTGTTGGACTCAACCAAAGGAGTTCTGTGTAAGAAGGTCCTCCCTTTATTTTTCCATCTAGGGGGTAAAGAATTGTATTGGCCTTTAATGAAAGTTTGCAATTATGTTCCAGATCCCAAAGTGGCTATATTACTGATGTTGTCCTGAGAGGAGGACAGACAGTTTGATTGTGCTGCTTTCCCTCGAGTCAGTTGGGGGGCCAACTGTTCAGAATTAGTGGGAAACATTAGATAAAGCCAAGGCAGGACACTTCTTTGGGGACAGAAGCACATTCATCTAAATTGAAATCTAAGGTGAGTCTTATACTCAACGACAAAGACCCAGACCCTAGCATTAAATTAGAAACAAGTGAAGGATTTGGGAAAATCCCCCAGGCTCTTACAACTGGTTCATTCTTGTGTGTAAACATATAAAGGAAGCTGAGCTGATGGTATAGTTCAGTGGTGGAGCTCTTGTCTTGCATTTTGTTGCCTGGGCTCAAACCACACAACACACACACACATGCACGCATGCACACACACAGCATGAGGAAGTTTTCTTCCAGTCTTTGTGCTTTAACTAACTCACACACAAGTGAGTGAAAATACAAACTCAGAGTTTTTAGTAAGGAAGCTTTGATTATCATTATATCCTTTATGCATTTAATAGAAAACATTAAGAAACATGGAACTTATGCTTTTGGCTGCAGGTAATTTTAAATGAAAAGCGAAGTCGGAGCTGTTTCCTTCTTTTCTTCGCAATACACTTATAGGTTTAAGAGTTTTCAATTTACAGTGTGGAAAATAATTGAAACAAAATATTTTAAGTGATTTGAGCCAATAGTTCTCTATTGATTCAGCTTATTTTAAAGGCTGAAGGAAAGGAAGAGATACCCTAGCTTTGGAAAGTTAAAAATTGGCAAGAATTGTCTGAGAATACGCACTTTTTTCCTAAGTGAAATGAGAATCTGTAACTAGAAGAAGCCTGTTCACTTCTGAATCCTTAGATAGGATCCCATACATACCAGGACATGACCACGTACAATCCTTTCGAAGCTAGTGAGTGCTGTTTAAATTTTTTAAAATTAAATTTCAATATTTAATTTTTTTTTAATTTGGAAAGTTTTAGAGTTATAGAAAAGTTCCAAAGATAGCACAGAAAAATCACACATGCCCTTCATCCAGCTCCCATAGTGTTAATGCACTAATGTACACCTGTCAGACACCCACAGGTTAACACTGGGACCTGCGGTCTGAACTCCAAAATTTATTCAGAGTTCACCAATATTCCCACTGATGTCCTACTGCAGTCCCTGGGGCCCTACTAATTCTGCATCGCATTGAGTCATCTGATCTCTTTTAGAATCTCTGTGCTTTGGTGATTTCTCCACAGAGGTGCAGTGCCATTTCACCATGTCATGTTGGGGTATAATCTGTCAACATGTCCTAGCACTGGTGCCACCCCCTAGAGAGACCTTTCCAAGCTACCCTCATCCGAGGAGGTGTTTCTAGTTATTCTCGTTTCAGCACTTGTGTTATTTCTTCAGAATCCTCATCACAAGTGGGGATGGGTGTGTTGGACTGTTTGTAACTGGAAGCACAAACTGTGAAGAACAACATCTCTCTTGTTCACCTCTGTGTCCCCAGCATCTAGCACAATACCTACTCAAAACTGTTTCCTTCATAAATAATACACTGTGGTTTTCTTAGTGAGCATTTCGTAAGCATTCTTATAAAGAGTACTTATTTCTCCATCTGTCATCTGGTGGAATTCTGAGAACTGTCTTCTCATGTCACTTTTCTTTTCCTTTAGACTTTGCCCACAGCACTTGAATAACTGAAATGCAAAATCAAGAAGCAGACAATCAACACTTCTGGAATCTTTCATTTCCCTCAGTCCCTTTGACTCAGTTTTTCTCTATCTGCCTGGCAGGTGAAAACCCTAGAACGGGAGGAGGGAGAAATCCTCTTTCTATAGGGGAAGTAAGTACTTTCATCCCTGATGGAACCAGTTTGTTTTCATGAGCCTTTGTGTCCCTGGTTCCTGGTGGGGTGAGTTTCCCTCCCTAATGTGCTGTCAGCACTGGCCCAGCGAGTCCAGGCCTGCTCAGCTGTCATGGGAAAATCCCGCTTGGGGCTTTACGGGGAAGGATGTTGTGGGTGGAAGTTGTCAGTTTTAACCTTTCTAGACTCAATTATCTTATTTCTATTGTATGTTATTTCCTGAAATTGAGCTTTTACAAGTGTGGTTTCCAGAATCATTTTAACATGACCTTTTCATGGATAATCAGGTTCTCAGGAACCTGCTGTGGGAAGTCTTTTAGCTGCAGTGTGGTTATGCCTGTCCTTATGGAAACCCAATTCCAGTTCACAGATGAAGAAATGGAGGCAGTTCTTGTGAGGGGACTTATCCACAATGTAAGAGGCTGCGCAGCAAAGGCACGATGAGACTTGCTGTGTTTTTTTTCAGCTGTTTCGCTGCTGCAACTAAAAGATCAATTGACCAGATCAATTTTAGGGAAGGAAAAGTTTATTAGAGGGCTCACAGTTTCAGAGTTTCAGTCCATGCATAGCCAGCTCCATTCCTAGGGGCACAAGGTGAAGCATCATGGCGGAAGGTTGTGGCAGAGGCAAAAAGCTCACTCGGGGATTAAGAAGGTGGGGGAGGGAGGAGAGAGAGAGAGAGGGGGGGGGAAGGGAGGGGAGAGTGAGGAAAGGAGAGAGAGGGAGAAGGGGGAGAGAGAGGTAGGGAGGGAGGGAGAGAAAGAAACTCCATTTGCCAGATACAAAATTTGTACCCCAAAGCCACGCCCCCAATGTCCCACCTCCTTCAGTCATTCATCACCTGCCTTCATTTACCACCTAGTTAATCCCATCACTGGGTTAATTCACTGATTAGGTTAAGAGATTTTGTTTTTACTTTGTGGGGAAGGATGTTGTGGGTAGAAGTTATCAGTTTTAACCTTTCTAGACTCAATTTAGATGTGGTGTCCCCTCCCTGCAAAAGCTTATGTGTGAAACAAGAAGGTGTACTTCTCCTCTAAACCTTCTTGTTTCACACATAAGCTTTTGTGGGGAGGGGACACCACATCTAAACCATAACACTGTACATGTCTCTAGTGCTTCATGCTGTTAGCACTGTGCCTGAGGTGGCCATGGATAATACTATTTTTTTTCTGGGGATGTTTTCTATCACCCTGATTGAGGAGGAATTAAAAACATTTTTATTTCATCCTACGACATAGGAATGTTGTTACTATTGGGGAAATGTAAGTAAAAACAAAATCTCTCAACCCAGATTTCCTCTCCACAAAGGTAGTAGAGAAAGCATTTTCTTATCGAATAAGCCTTAAACCAGAATGTGATGCATGTCACAGGCAATTCACTACAAGATTGCAAAAACAGAATCTCACCCTTTTATATAGCCAAGCAGTACAACCCATTATACATAGGTTTTGTTTTTGTTTTTTGTTTTTTTTTGTTTTTGGTTCTGGGGATTGAACCAGGCCAGGGCCTTGTGCATGTGAGGCAAGTCTCTACCAACTGAGCTATATCCCCAGCCCTACAGATAGGTTTTCAAGATAAACAATAACTAGTTGTCAAGTCAAAGGGCTCCATAGTGCCATTAGTCACACATAGTCATTCTAACTTTGCCTGGTAATTGGGGTTTCCACCTGTGTTAGCTTACTGGCTTTAAGCAGAATTAAAAACATATCTTATAAAACAGGAGATTTTTTT